CATAGGACACCTTCCACTATCCCAGGTTGCTCCAAGCCACATCCAACCTGGCCTTGGACACCTCCAGGGATCCAGGGGCAGCCACAGCTGGAACCAGGGTGGCTTTGAGGGAGGAGAAGGAAATGGGGTAACTGTGGGTTCAGCTGCTGCTGTGGGGTAGGACTGGCTGGCTTTTACACAGCTGCAGCAGGGAAAGGAGGGTGGGAGAAGTCACCCAGGAGGACAATGTAATGGACAAAAAGTGATTAAATAAAAAAAAAAAACCTCCTGAACTTCAGCATCCTGCAAATATGCAGCAATCACCCTGAGGCAGATGGAAGGATTGTTCCATTAGGCTAAATTAGCTCGTTTGGTCAGATTTGCCTTTATTCTTGCCTTTATTCTATCAGGGGGAATACTAACTCTTAGGAACTGCTGCAAGGTTTTGTGACCCCGAACAGAGACTGAAGACTTTAGAACAACTTTCATTTTGAGTAAGGTTTTCTCAGGGAGTGGTAGTGGTGGTGTCATATTTTTAAAGGAAATTTCCAGTGCAGCAGCTTCTGTTTTCCACTCAGGGCCACTATCAGCTTTTTCTAAACCACTCTTCCTGAGTGGCAGAAAAAGAGAGCTGCACACAAGATGATAGGAAGAAAGACAAATTCATTGCTTAAGTGTTAAGTACAGACTAAAAGCCTCTCTAATACATGATGGCAGGATCATTTAATGCTCTTGTGGTTTCACATCTCTACGCAGAGGCTGTTTTGCCAACAGGTCTCATTTTAAAAGCTAGTAGAGTTTGAGAGATGGTGGATTAAGGAGAGAAAATCCTGTTGTCTAAGGGTATAGTGCTTGACTCCAAACTACATGAATAGAACTTGAACAAAGTGAGGCACAGGAGCAGAGAACTGCAGTACACATGGATGAAACTCCTGCCAACTCCTGTTTGTATGGGCATCCACTGCTATGGAGAAAAACTACTAACATCCTTCAGTTCCAGACATGACTTCATATCCTAAGGCATGCTCCATCTAACTGTACCTTTCAAAGCCAGCAGCATCACTCCTGCTCTCACTGACCCCAAGAAAAAGGCACAATCACCCTAAAACATTTGTCCACAACTGTTTTGGCCCTGATGGATGCCTGGACCACAGATTGGATTATGGGACTGAAATCAAGAACAGAGCAGGAGGGTTGTGAGCTCTGGTTGTGCAGGAGAAGCAACATTTCATGGCTGAGAAAGAGCCACCCAGATTGATTTGTTTGCATTCATCAGGTTTTGTTACCATTCCTGAGGGGGTTTGTTGAGTACATACACTTCACTTTTATTGGTGCTGGCAGGGATGGGACCCTCTGCACTTCATTTCTGGGGAATACAGAGTTTGTCCTGCTTGTTGCCCTTTGTCCACCAAAAGCAGAGATGTAAGAATAGGATTCTGGAACTGATCCTTAAAAAGTCCTCATGTCAGTTTTTGCTTCACAGGCCCTCTACTTATACTCAGCAGCATTTGGTCTCCACTACTGTGCTTTAGTTATTCTTAAAATTAAGAAAGTAACTACTACAAGAAATTAATTAAGGACCAATTAGTTGTGAGACAGCAATGCTGACACCCTGGGTTCCCACAAGCATCATATTTCCTTCTGACTGTTGCAGACCTTCCTGCCCAGTAAAAAGTTTCCTAGTATTGGTACAGGAGTCTCCATAAGGATGAGCAATCCAAGGGAATTCCCTTAATTCTACAGGCATTTTCTCCATTTGATCAGAGCAGTGTCACTGACAACTCAGATAAAAGGTATCTGCCAGCTATGGACCTTTGCTGAAATTATCCTTTTTTCTTTCATTTTTTCCCTCTCAAGTGCAGCTAAGAGAGGGTCTATGAGTTCTACCAGAGCTGAACTGCAGCTGAACAGGGAAGCCACAGTTTTGCTTAACCACTTGAAGCACAGGCACAAAAACTGTACTGTGAGATGGAGTAACATAAAAATATATCCCAGTGTAGAGGGAACTCCAAAAGCTGGGGAGCTGCAGGGACAAGATGTCCCATTTTAGGAGCCTGCTCCAATGTAAGATATGTCTGGTTAAATGATTGAAGACTGTGTCCGTCAAAGAGTCCCAATTCCAACCTTTTCTGTTGTAGGTTTTTCACTGCAAACTGCAGTTGGGAATATGGATCACCAAACAAAACCACAAGCAGCAGAAAGCTAGGAACACATATGTGCTTGCCCACAGCACTGCTGCCTGTAAGCTGTTCTCCAACCAACAAAAACATCTCAGTGGCTGGAAAAGATGAACAAGCCTGGTTGCCAAGTCATGGCCTGAACTATTCCAGGGGCAGAAGAGACAGCTGGACTGCTGGTTAAGAACGGGCCTATTTAAGGAGACTCACTCTGGCCTAATGGAAAATGCAAGGATAGAATTATCAATTATTTTACACTAACCCAACATTTCAGATCCAGGAAAAAAACAATCACAAGGAAGCAGAAGAGAGAATCTGGTTAGATTCGGCTGGCAGCTCAATCCAGGTACAGAAAGAGCAGAATGTGCTGCCCTTTAGAAGAAAGAAAATTAACTGGTTTTCAGAAGATGGTGATTCTGGAGTGTTTCAGCCTACAAAGCAAATGCATGTGCACTGTTGTTCCAAGCACTGACACAAAGTTGATGTGATCACAGGGCCTTGGGTTATCACAAAGAGCCACAAAAGCCATCAGCGGAACAGAGATAAAGAAATTATTTTTGGATGTATAGCTATATGCTGATATTTTAAGTCATACTGCTGATCTGCTTTCTCTTTCAGCCCTCAGGGCAGCTGCTCCTGGTGTGCTGCACAGTGTTCCATATTAAGAATTCCTATGCAAAACCCTGGCTGCCACCCAGAAAGCATGTTAGAGAGCAAACACACAGAGCCAAATAAACAACAGTCCTGGAGACTCTGAGAAAGGCCCAATACACAACTGCCAAGGGGGACTCTGAGCTGAAATCTCCTAGAGAGGGAAAGCTCTTCAGCATGACCTTCAAACACAGCTTTGTCTGCTGCAAACCCCACTGTAACTGAACTTCTCATTGTCCTTTTACCACAGCCTTGGTCCCAGACTGCTGACAGCCTCAGCATGGCTGTGCCATCAGATGCTCAGGAGTCACAACAGCATTTAGCAGGATTTGAAATGAGGGAGGGAGGGCAGCAGAAAACTCTTCGGTTTTCTTTCACAGGAATGCTCTGTTCAGTGCCTATTACAAAAAAGGGCAAAACCTTTGCTTTAGAATTCAGTCCAAAGTGCAAGTTTAAAAGAATTCTAAACACCTCTGTGCCCTGTTCCTCAGCACTTCCTCTCACAGTTATGTATTTCAACAGGCAGCTCTATAAATATATGTGGCAACCCAATGTCATGGTGTCTGATGAAACTTTTACAAGAACATTCCCCAGGGCTTCTCAAAATTAACAACTTTGAAGAACTTTTGTAATTTTTATTCAGGGCAGAAGCAGACTACATCTTTTGGAGATTTAAATACACATGCACCAAAGAGTATCTTGTTTACACCGTGTGTTCCAGGCTGTACTGGAGCTGTGGTGCTTATTTACAGCACAGGATGTAGCACTTTCCAACAAACCAGCAGCACTTGATTTTGAAGGCCAGAGCATCCTTCTGTCTTGTTTGCTCTCCTGGGACAAACATAAGTGGATTGGGCAGGGGAGCATTCCAATCTACAGCACAGGGGATTCAACAGGTATGAACTGGATCTGGAAATGAAGCTGGTGATCTAATATACTGCTGTCATAGCAGCTTAGATGTAAGAGGAAAAGTAGATCATACTTCCTGGCTCTCTGTGTCAGTAGAGGTGCTGTAGGGTGTTTTACAATAACCCTCAGGTCCCAAACTATATTTTCATCAGAATGGTTTTATTCAGCTTCACAAAATGCCAAGGAAACATTGCTGGACATAACATTTTCCCCATCTATTCCCATGGCTGTACAGCCAGTTCTGTGCCTCTAGATGTTAAAGAAACCTGGGCCTGGGGTTGTGGTGGATTTGAGTCAAAGTCTCCACTAAGAGAATTGGGATATTTAAGGTAACTGCACAATCTTGGAGTGATGGGTAACTGCTGCAGGACACCTCTGGTCAACTCCCAGTCCTTCCACTCTGTCAGAGTAGCTTGACAGCCAGGACAGGACCGGGTATTCACTCACACTTGGCATTTGTAGATAGCAAAAATGTTTCCACCAATGGGATTTTACTGGGTCCATCTCCAGGGCTGATGTGTTCAACAGAAAAAAATTCAACTTTCCTTGTGTAAAGGTATGTTACAGTTGCCAGTGACAGAGTGCTGCAGTTTCTGCCAGTCCCTGACATCTGCTGTTTAAGGGTATCTATAGATATAAAACACAAGTGGCTTTTCCCAAAAACCCACATGGAAATCCCAAAGAAAAAAAAGTTATCTTAAATGCTAAAATTAGACATGACTAATCCCAGTTCTGTGGGCACAGGAACTAACTGATTCCTGCCCAGGTTGGACAAACAGCTCCTGAGATGACTGAACACCAGGTAGTTTCACTTTTCAGCTGTGGAAGGATTTGCTCTGACACTTTGGTCCCGCTGAGACCTCCACAGGGAGCACTCCTAAGCAGAATTTTGCTGCTGTCCTGATTCTGGGAACATTCTGAAAGGACACTTGTTTTGTTTGCTGGCAGCTGCACAGAAAATTCTGGAGGGATATATTCGTGAGCCCCACAAGTCTCTGACCTGTCTCACCTTCTATTCTGAGAGTATTAGCACAATTCACTTAGGATATGTGGGGACTGGATCAAATCCAGGAGAAGAGATTAGTTAGATCTAAGGAAGTGGATGCCAAGCAGAGAAAGGTCAAAAGCCATCACACACATGGCACACAGCAGCAGAATATCCAGTTTTGTGTAGGTCAGCCCAGGAATTGTTGATTTTCCTGTAAGTCAATGCATAAGGCGCATCACCTGGCCCAGGATGCAACCAAGGCTGGAGGCTGCTGCCCTCCCAGCACTGGAACTTACCCATGAAGAAAAGTTCCGGGGACTTTTTGTCTGTAGCAAACTCCGCCATGGGGCCACCAAACCGCAGCCAGAGCCCAAAGGCAATGACAGCCAGTCCCGCCAGCTGCAACACAAACAGAGCAGTCAGGGTTGCAGTCACAAACGGCTGGAGAGCAGCACAGGGGTGTCTTGGCACCTTGTGCTTTCTTGAAATCCCTCAGCTCAGAACTGCACTGTCAGAAAATGCATGCTGCACTTGCCAGGGTCTGATAACAACAAATTCCAATTACAGTGCAGTGTACTTCTTTCTTTCAGCTCTTCAGTGTAGTGGTGTTTCTGAACTTACTAGTGACTCTCAAATTTTGTCAGTCATTCAATCATCAAAACTGGGCCTGAATTGTCATGAGAAATGGAGTGGGGCAGGGGACCCCCACCAAAACTAGGAGGCACAAGGATTGTTATTGGGTAGATATCTTGGATCACAGAAATGACAAATCAGTGATAGATGCTGTCAAGTGCAAGGAAAAATTCCCTTTAATGTGAACAAAACTAGGTAACAAAGGAGTGTCACAGCATGTTGTTTGAGGGGCAAGATCTACAGTCAGAAGTCTCAGCCTCACCACATGCCAGACAGATCATCAGCCTGCCAGGCAGTGCTCTGTGACCTGGCAGAGAACTCCAGCATCCCTCAGGAGCCAGAGCTGTGTGAACATCAGGCAGCTCCAGCATCCCTCAGGAGCAAGCACAGTGTCCTGCTGCTGTCCAGGCCCAGAGCCTCAGTCTGTGGCACCTGCACCACCTGTACAAGGCTCACAAACACCTGCTGCTTCCCATGTGGGTGCCAGCCTGGCACAGTGCTCTCCTAACCTGTCCTGCACTCCCTGGCACTTGATCCATTGGCACTCCACAAGCCAAGAGAGCAATTATACAGCTGGGATCATGGCTTTCCTCACAGATGTGTCCTTGCAGAGGGTGAGGGTCCCCTGCCACCCTGTCACAGCATGGGGACCACCCTGCTGGCAGCCTTGGGCTGCCAAGGCATCTCCAGGCTGTAGAGTGCCCCTGGCAGCTCGGGATGAATGTCCCAGCCAGCTGAGGAGATGGTTCCTTCCATCTCAGCCAAAAGCCAGATAACAAAACACAGTACTTGTCACTTTTGAGAAACAAATAACACAAAGCTTTGTCCTTCTGTTGCCTTGCAGCTGCAGCTGGGCAGCATCACTCTGCCCCTCCAGCTTGAGCACAGCAGCACTGTGTCCCCGGAGCATGCAGCGCTGTCACCACGAGGGAACAGCCTTTGGTTTAACTGTGCTTCAAGCATAATGGAGACAAAAGCCCAAAACTGCTTGGTCCAGAGTGGCTGAACAGGATGACTTTGTGACTTCTTTTAAAAAGACCCCAGTGAATCAGAAGGAAAGAAAAAGACATTTAAGAAGATAACATTGCTGATTGTTTTCTGGAAAGCTGAAGGGAGAACAGAGCATGAGGGAAAGCGAGAGAATGAGAGAAGAGAAAGCGTGAATTCAGCTGCGTGGAACTGTGAGACTATTGAAAAGTTGCAATGAGGGGAGAATAGACACAGCATTCCCTAAATCTCTTGGGGGTGATGCGAGGACTTTGTCTTAGGATGAACTTGTAGCAGCTGTTGGCTCCCTATTTGAAATGACATTGGGAAAAGCACCGTGATGCTGTGAAATGTTCTCCTTGCTGCACTGCGCTGGAGGAACCTCTCCTGGATCGCTACTTTAAATGATCAGTTTAGACAGATGCTGTCTCTGCTCAGCAATGTCATCTTACCGAACCGGTGCTTTCCCAAACAGAGCTGTATCTCCTTGGGAGCGAGCAGAAGCGGGGAGCTTCAGCTCGGGCAGCCGATCCCGCAGGGCTGCCCGGAGGGACCCGCGCCGGTGCCACCTGCCCTACCCCGGCATCCCCGGCACCCGGCACCCGGCATCCCCGGCACCCCCGCACCCCGGTACCCCGGCACCC